AAGCCTGTTGCATGGGTTAATTTCGACCAGCCTCGGGGTAATTTCGACCACAACAAACATAAAAAAGAAAGATAACTCTTGCAATGTAAATAAGCTCAATCTGCCGCATTTTCTTTGAAATTTGTGGTCAAAGAAACTATTTTTCCTCATTAAGAAAATATGTGTAAATCTCATAAAAAGATTACATGCTTGTTGATTCAGTAAAGAATTGGCTTGGTTTACGTAAGTTTTTCAATGCTGCCAAAGACATCTATATATGTAATTGTTATACTTTTTTCTCAATTCTGCATCTTTCACCAACTCTATATTTTCAATAGTTATTCAAATAAATCATATTTCTCAGACTCTACAATCTTTAATAATTAATATTATTAAACTGTCCAACCTGAAATGTATTTTATTTAATATCGTCATTTAACAACAGGTTGGTTCAAAGTAGAGCACGGCATAGGAATTGCGCAATTTTTTTTTTTTTATGTACATTTTCAGTATTGTACAAATTAATTTGAAATGCATAGTATTTCATACAGTATTGTTTTAAAAATAAACAATGTGTTTTGTTAAAAGAGATAGATCCCGAGGAATTCAACTGTCATTAATGAAGAGATTTACGCAAGCAATGTCCTCTGATCGACCCCCCCCCCCCCCCCCAGTTTTTCTCTCCGTTACACTACATACAATCCGGTTGAATGTAGTATAATGGAGAGAAAACCTGTGGGTTCCGACGATGCCACCCCCCCCCCCCCCCCCCCCAAAAAAATATAATAACAAACAAACAAATCAATTATTTCGTACCATCATAGGTTTTTGTTTTAAGAGTCAAGATTACAGCTCTTTTGGTGTGTTGTTCTGATAGTTTGCAAACTATTTGGATTTGTTCATACTTGTACCTTGTGATATACAATCTGAAATATTGCTAGTTCCTGGTTTTCGAAAGCCTCAAAGTCTTGTCCGTCAAACGCATTCGTAATAATTAAAAAAAAATACAAAAATTTGATTTTTTAAATATATTTAATATTGCCTGCATCCTCTCTTCTCTTTTATTAATTTGACAGTTTTGGAATATTTGGATTGCTCTTACATGTTTTTTTTTTTTTCATAGCAGTTCTCTCGCATCTTGATCAGGGATGTACCCTCACGACCTAGACAATATAGCGCTCGATATATAGCTAGGCATGCATATATTAATTAATCCTAGTTTATTTTTTAAAAAAATGAAAGTTTTATGTAGATTATATTGTTCATATACAGTATATTAAATTTCATTTTGAAGATCTGACGCAATTATTAAAGATAACCGACACATATTGCAGAATGAGTGGTCGAATTTACCCTGCATCCCTAAAAACAGTGGGGGTAATTTCGACCAAACTCAAACAGGAGTTTCTTGTCCTTTTTGAGAGAAATCCAAGATAATCTTGTAAAACTTTGCAACTTAAGATATCCCAAGAAAAAATAAAACAATTTCAATTAAATTTATACTGTTAAATGTTGAACAAGCTAGGTTACACTTTAAAAAGAGGTTGTATGAGTTGTCTCTCTAGCATTTCCTCGATCAACTCAAGCGCATTGATCAGACGGACTTCGAACATCAAACTGGAGACATAAATAATAGTAAAAATGTTTTTTAAATCTCTGATCAAACCATATTTGCGATGAATAATTATACTAGGAAAACGAATTTGTGGAATAGATTTCTTTTATTCCAAATTAATGAAACTTGTTTCATCACTTCCGTAAATCATTGTGTGGGGTTGTGTTTCTGTGGTCGAAATTAAACGGTGGTCAAAATTACCCCGACTTACCCTAATGATATACAGAGGTTTTGGTTTGGTCTCCAAGTGTATATCTGTAGACAATAAACTGAGTAAAGTAATGTTGGGTCTTTAAGAATATACATTATACAACTGAATAAAGTAATGTTTGGTCTTTAGGAATATACAAGTCATTATATAACTGAATGAAGTAATGTTGGGTCTTTAAGAATATACATTATGTAACTGAATAAAGTAATGTTTGGTCTTTAGGAATATGCATTATTATTGGGTGCTTCTTACAGTGGACATGTGACAGGAAGTAAGACTTTAGACAGAGTTACAAAAGAAAATGGAGGAAACAGATCTCCTTGTGGCTATTCTTGTTACGATGATCATTTCTTCTGTTTTCTTGCTTTTTATTTGCATAGTAATCTTTTACCTTGGTGTTAAGTGGACAAGATTATTTCTATTTTGGACTAGAGACTTGCAATGATGAAAAGGTAATTATAGATCATGATTACTGATATTTGACTTTTTATTTATAATTTGTAGTAGTTCATATTGATATATTTATATGGATGCAAGATTATGACAGTTGAGTATCAAAAGTCTGGAATGTAATCTTTCTATGCATGCTTTTTTTGTGTATCAAATGAAGAAGGTTACATCTACACCTCAAAGAAATCAAGGTATCATGAGTTACAAAAATCAGCCATTCCATCAGTTTAATGTACAAATAAATATATGACATCATAGTTAATTTTTGCCCAGTACTTTTTTCCCCAAAACACCATGGTTTTTACTTCAACTTGTAGACCTTTACAGATGTGATTTTGTTTAAGGTTGTGGGGCAGATTTGTAGTACATGTACCACCAGAGCTTAAATGCAACTTTTCTCTGATATGTTCACTTTTTTCCCACTTAGGTCTTACCAATTTGTAATAGTTTGTCAGATTTGGTGCTTCTATTTTTGAACAAATTAAAATTTAATATTATCAAAAAGATATATCTGCCCACACTTTCCTAAATATCTGAGTATAAATTATTTTTTCGACTTTTTATACCAAACGCAATGAAGACATTTATAGACATGGTAGAATATGACAGACATTCAGGCTTGAAAAAGTATGTAACCGAGTGTACAGTTATTTTTTATGATGCCTGTTGTTAAAGAACAATAGTTAAAAACAATGGATGTGATTTTATTCTTATACTGCAATTGGAGGAGACGTTTGAAGTGCTTTTCAATGCAAATGTTTAGAGAACATAGACTGTACACGATGCACAAAAAATTCACGACTGGTTTGGTGTATATCGATGATGTTTGTTGGATAAAAATTAAAGAAAACTGCTTAAAACGATGCAGCTGAGATTTTTTATACAGGGCATGTCCCTTGCAGTATGCAAAAATTTAAACAGATGGTAGGAATGAAACTACACTAGTCTATAGTAAATTGCAATTTAACACATCAACAAAATGTAGTTGTGAATGCTTTCAAAGCTTATTCTCTATGATACAAAGAAAATAGCCTACTGGCAAACGAGATGAAGTCTAAAAACCACATATTTTTTAAAATAATATGATAGAGTAGGCAATGGTAAGACTTCACAGTACATAGAAACTAGCACAAAAGTTTTTACCTGTTTATGGAAATAATGTACTATGGTACATGTATGTTGACAATTCACATGTTTTATTTATAATGACCTCTGATCCTCAGATTATCAGGATTTTTTTATTCGTACCAAAAATCTGCCTTTTATATGGAAAAATTAAATTAGTCTTCTTGTGTAAGTTAATATTACGATCAGTTATTCACGAAATGCTTGGCTTAGTGGTTCCCTGGAGATCAACTACACATAGGTAAAGGGGTTAGAGCCACCGATGCACCGTACAGCCTTTTTTAAAAATTTGATCTAAACTTTATATTTATTCCATTATATCCATTGTGGGCAAATTTGCAATACCTTTATGAAATGCATGGATACCATCAATAATTTTTTTAAAAAAATTTCATTTCATTTATAAAGTTTGAACGAGAAATAGCATTTTTATGATGAAGAAATACTTTGAGGCTGAGGGTCAGAGAACCAGAAAGAGTGGCAGCCCTATTCCAAATAAATTTTGTGGATATAACAATTTTAGAAAACATCATAGAGGACAATCAGTTGGCTGACTATATCAAGTGTTGTGAGAATTATTCAATTGTTTGGCCCTTTGAAGGTAGTACAGGTCCCATTCACAGAAAGAGGGGATTTTTAAAGAAATTACTCAAAAAGACCTGATCAATTAAAGTAATGTTGCTAGAAAATTACAAAAGAAGTCTTCAAACCTGATCTATTGTAACCAATATATCAACAAAACTAAAAACAAGCTGATATTGCATACAAATGTTATCTAATATGATTTTTAAAGACTCTCTCTTTGAAATGGCACTTGATTCGAATAATAAATTTAATATTTCTTGTATTCGCTTGCCCCATTATTTTCTACCCCAAAAAGAAAATAATATTTGTAAATAAATTTTTTTGATTATTGTTGAGTTGCACCACATCTTAGGTTAATACTGAAACTGTGATGACAAAGCAGAGATGCAGTGAATGCAATTTGATTAAGTTGTTCTTATGAATTAATAAATTATATTTTTTGAGAAAAAAAAAAGGTGCATATCATAATTAATCTGCATTTTTGTTCCCAGTTTTCACTGAAAGTGGGAATTTGTTTGCCCTTACATCTGTCCATACGTCCTTCCGTTATTCTGTCCTTGCATCATTCTGTTATCGTTAACTCTCTTTTCATTACAACTTGGCAATAGTTGCACACATTCAACTCAAATTTGATATATGGATACATCATAGAAATACACAAGTCAAGTTTGAATTTGGTCAAGGTCCAATTGTACTTCTTCAATAGGGAAAAGTAAGAAATTTTCAGTTTTTGCTCTTTTAAGTTAAAAAGGGATGTATATATAAAGTTTAAATTGCATTTACCAATATTTTAACAAAAAATACAGGTCAAGTTCAAATTTGGTCAAGGTCCGATGATTTTTTTTACAGAGTTATGCCCCTTGAACTTACCAAAAAAAGAAATATTTTCTGTGCAAACAAATGTAAAACTAAATCTGGCATTTGAAATTTCGACCGCTTTAGGGGCATTTGTGAAGTTACAACACATCTAGTTGTGTTATGAGCAGTGATTTATATGGTAATTCTTGTTTATTTTGTAGAAACTGAACAGTAATGATGGAAACAAGAAGAAAGAGGAAAGGTATGTGTGTGCATAACAAGTTGTAGTAAAAAAAATTGGTAGTAAACTGATTAAAATTGTGTTTGTAATTGTTTTTCCTTTGTAGAGTGTTTTTTTTTTTTTTTACCAATTAAGTATCAAAGTTTCACCATGTCTACTCGGTGCAAGATTAAATAAGAAGCTTTGGCTTAACAAAACACTAAATCACTAAAACAACACACGATGTTCACCATATGCATGTTTATATATGAAGGAGATGAAAGGCCCAGTTAAGATTTAAAGGTGCTTGGACACAGATTTGAAGTTAATATTTACTCAAATTTTCTGTATAATTTAATGACTTATATGTTGCTATAGCATTTCATACGAAAATTTGATAAAAATCTTATTTTGTCTGGAAGTCATTAAAACTCCGAATTTCTGGATGCGTTTGATAGACACATCCTTGCACTTTCACAAATTTTAACTTTATCCTTATTACTTTAGAAAAGTAGCAATTTTGTTGTTTATTAATGAAAAATATTAAAACTAAAATGCAGAAATTTTAGAGTAGGAATGTAGAAAGCAAAATCCTATCACCAGTATTGTCAGTCCGTGCTCAGTGGTGTGTGCAGAGTTTAACAATCGAACACACCCGTTGAAACGTAAACATTAACAACAACAGAGCTCGTGCCCTGTTTACAAAGTTTACGTTTCACGGGTGTATTCAATTTGTTAAACTCTGTACACAACTACGCAACACTGAGCACGGGCTGACAATACATAAATAAGTGGGTTTTGCTTTCGCACATTTTTACTCTGAATTTTCTGGATTATAGGTGTAATATTATTCATTAATACACAGCAAAATTGCTACTTAAGTATTAAGAATAAAGTTAAAAATTGTGAAAGTGAAAGGATGTGTTAATCAAATGCCTCCCGAAATTCATAGTTTCAATAATTTCCAGATTAAATAAGTTTTTAATTATATTTTGGTGTGAAATGCTATAGCAATATATAAGTTGTGATATTATACAGAAAATTTGAGAAAATATAAACTTCAAATCTGTGTCTATGCACCTTTAATCAAATGAAATGATTGAAATCCTAAACAAAAACATGCATTGCAGCATAAATGGAGTGTGTTGGCATTTTAAGTTTAAAAAAGACACAAGAATTATCCCTTTTTCATAATAGTTTTTTTTTTTTTTTTACGACTATTGAATCATTATTCAAACGTTGGTCCGTTTGACTGAAAGTCAAATAGTTGACTATTCATTGTCATCCCCAAAAAAATTGTATATATAGATAGACCCAACTTTATTATATGACAGGAAGTGGTTGGTCAGCCATATTGTTTTGTAGAGGAGTGAATACATCATGGCAGAAGAATTTCCCTGTGGATTTATAGCTTTTGCTTTCCATTTTGAATTTGCCCAGGCTTGCTCATTTTGTGCAGATTTTTCTTACGATGTGTTAGAGGTCTATGTAGATGGAAAGGATTATCTTTGCTTTTTTTCTGTGGCTGAATTTACAGCATGTGGTTTTTTTTGTCATTTGAATGGATTTTCTTTCTCAAAATATGTACTTGCATAATTGGAATATGAAGAAAACTGAAATGCTGCACATCAGAAGAAATGATATATTTAAATGTCAGTGTTTATTAGAGTGTCACTTTTTAGCTCACCTGAGCTGAAAGCTCAAGTGAGCTATTCTGATCACTATTTGTCCAGCATCCTTCTGTCTGTCTGTCCGTCTGTCTGTAAACTTTTTTAGCTCACCTGAGCCGAAGGCTCAAGTGAGCTTTTCTAAATGTGTCCTTTGTCTGTCGTCGTTGGCATTGTCATTGTAAACTTTTCACATTTTTATCTTCTTCTCCAGAACCACTTGGCCAATTTCAACCAAACTTGCCACAAAGCATCCTTGGGTAAAGGGGATTCAAGTTTGTTCAAATGAATGGCCACACCCTCTTTCAAGGGGAGATAATTAAGAATTTGTGAAAATTTGGTGGTATCTTTAAAAAATCTTCTTCTCAAGAACCACTGGGCTGTAAAAGTTGAAACTTATGTGAGACCTTCATTACATAGTGTAGATTCAAGTTTGTTCAAATCATGACCCCCTGGGGTAGGGTGCGGCCACAATGTAGGCCTTTCAACTAATTTTTCAAGTTATACATATGGTTAAAAAACAATTGATAGATATATTTGTAGGTACGTGAAATTCTCAGAAAAAGATTATAACCTATACATACCTTTAATTAAATCTTAAAAAAATTAATTATCAATATTTGATTTGTACGATGTGGTGTTTTAAAGACAGTTAACTCAAATGTAAAATATGACCAACAAAGTGCCGATTTTTGAGTTATCGTTTATAAGAATGACATATAGGCTGCTTCAATTGGTATTGTTATGTACACAAAAGGGTTCCTTGTATTCTTTGGTACACAAAAGGGTTGACCAAAACAAGGAGAATGCCTTCACTCTATACCTGGAATAACAGTATCAATGAATGGGGAAGGACTATATTCAAGATTTTTAACTCTCCCTAACATTTGCTATGTAGAGGAAAATTTAATGCCATGTTTTTTGTTTGTGCATTGTTGTGCTTCATCTTTTAAGATAAATATTTCTACAATTAAAAGCAACAATAAATTATCTTATTCTTTTCGCTAAGCACGAAGAAGAACGATCAAGTATAAAAATTTAATCAGGTCAAAATTAAGAAGGGGGATGGATTTCACTTTATATTTTTATTAAAAATTTCACTTATATATTATTGTACAGTGTCGATAACTACATGATAATTAAGTTGAACATTTGAGCTAAATTTTAAAACCACTGGATTTCCCTGACAGTGGAGGAATACTTGAGAAATGCTAAAACTTGACATCCTTAAAAACAATTAGCTTCCTCGGACCCGCTCTAAACAAGTTCCGGTAATGGGTTATCGTTCTTTTCATCGAACCCTAGCGGCAGTTGAAAGGCCTACACAATGGGGGATCAAAGTTTTACATAGGAATATATAGGAATAAATTTTTAAAAATCTTCTCCTCAAGAACAATTAAGCCACAATTAGTCATATTGATATGGAATCATCCTCAGGTAGTGTAGATTTAAGTTTGTTCAAATCATGACCCCCTGGGGTAGGGTGGGGCCACAATGGGGGATCAAAGTTTTACATAGGAATATATAGAAAAAAATATTTAAAAATCTTCTTCTCTAGAACAACAAAGCCACAATTAGTCATATTGATATGGAATCATCCTTGAAGGTAGTGCAGATTCAAGTTTGTTCAAAGCATGACCCCCTGGGGTAGGGTGGGGCCACAATGGGGAGTCAAAGTTTTACATAGGAATATATAGAAAAAATTCTTTAAAAATCTTCTCCTCAAGAACAACTAAGCCACGATTAGTAATATTGATACGGAATCATCCTCAGGTAGTGCAGATTCAAGTTTGTTCAAATCATGACCCCGGGGGTAGGATGGGGCCAATGGGGAATCAAAGTTTTACATAGACATATATAGGAAAAATCTTAAAATTGTTTTTCTCAAAAACAAAAAAAGCCACAATTAGTCATATTGATATGGAATCACCTTCAGGTAGTGTAGATTCAAGTTTGAATTTTACATAGGAATTTATAGAAATTTATAGAAAAAAAATTTTTAAAAATCTTTTTCTCAAGAACAACAAAGCCACAATTAGTCATATTGATAAGGAATCATCCTCAGGTAGTGTAGATTAAACTTTGTACAAATCATGACCCCCAGGGGTAGGGTGGGGCCACAATGGGGGATAAAAGTTTTACATAGGAATATATAGGAAAAAACTTTAAAAATCTTCTTCTCAAGAACAGCAAAGCCATGTTTTGTCATATTGATATGGAAGCATCTTCAGGTAGTGTAGATTCAAGCTTGTTCAAATCATAACCCCCAGGGGTAGGGTGGGGCCACAATGTGGGATCAAATTTTTACATGGCAATATATAGGAAAAAATCTTTTCAACAACGGAAAAGCCATGTTTAGTCATATTGATATGGAAGCATCCTCAGGTAGTGTAGATTCAAGTTTGTTCAAATGGGGGGGGGGGGGGGGGGTAGGGAGGGTCCACAACAAGGGATTATATAGGAAAAAAATCTTTAAAAATCTTCTGCTCAAGAACAGCAAAGCCATTTGTTATATTGATATGGAAGCATCCTCAGGTAGTTCAAATCCCCCCCCCCCTTAAAACTTTTCGATATGGTATAACCCATTTAACTGGGAAATGTTTGCATGTACAGGTACATATAAATATGCAAGAGCCATTAATGTACACACTTATATGTGAGCAGTAATTCATTAAACAATACATATATATATATACCGGTATATTTGTATAATCATTATATTTGGATGCAAGAATCTTTCCATTATTATTTTATCTTGCACGAGAAATTATCAGATTTATTTTTATTTAACCTTTTTTTTTTGCATGATCACAATATATTTTTTTTACTACTTGGTGTATGACAAAAATGATTGACGCTTCAAACTTGGACAAATTTCACCTTGGGTCTTTTTCCAATGTATCTAATTACATTTACCTAGGTCAAACCTATCGAAGAATACTTTAATCTTGTTTCAGTTCTTACAATTTTCCAGATGTTCCTAACACAATAATGATGAAATTGACTGATGTACATCTGTAAATCGCATTTTCTTCACAGGGACCTGAATTATTTATAATCATAGTCTAATTTAATTCTTAATCTGGGTATAAAAATGAAAAAAAAGTTATTTTGATAAGCATAATTGCCTGGATGTGAAAATCATGAAAATTAAGTCTCCTGAAAAAAAGACAGCTGTTATCGTGGTGAAATTAAGTCACAGGTTAATTGGTAGGTTTTGCCTTGATTATCCTGAGAAAAAAATTAGTTGTTGTTTTTATATGCCTGTCTTAAGACAGGACATATGACATGTATGTTATGCATTCGTGTCCATCAGTCTGTCTGTCTCTTAGCTTTTTTCGTGTCCGGCACATAACGAGCTCTAATACTTTTGTG